GTTGAAATAAATCATTTCTAATGTATATTTATAAACTTTCGAAAAAGATTACTCAAAATCGAAACTTGTCAAAAAATAGGCCACGCAAATTTGCGGATCTCTAAAAAATTTGCTAAATTTATTCGTCTCGACTTGACCCTTGACGCAATTTAATTCACGTTGAAGCGATTATTCGACTGAAAAATTTAACAAAGAGGGATCTATCAACGAGGATCGATGCCAATAATCATAATTGATTCTCAGAAAGGATCTACTAAAATTGATTGTGTTGCCCTTCTCTAAACTATAAAATATTTATATAATTTTTTCTGATCTCAGATTCGTTTTGTTTTTCTACCTACGATGATATTCTTGATCACGCAAACGACTTACTTCAAAAATTTATAATCATTCAACCATTCTATAACAAAAGCACTAAATCATCTATCAACCATACTATTCAACCCAGTGACAAATTAATTGTTTTAATTCGCTAAAAAATAAGTCAATTGTTAATAATTAAAAACTCACAAACTTTAATCTGATCAACTGTAAATTTCGTAAGGCTGTGCATTGTTAATTATCAGATATCACAAAGTCTACTGACAAGTTAAAGCTGCAGTATTAATCATAACGTCCCAGCTCTACTGACCATGCACGTATACACATTTCCCTGCATTGCTATGTACGTATTTAATCATATGTATGCACATGTATCGTCTACAGTGTGTGCTCAAGCGCTTCAGTGCCGACAGTTCGTTTGAACGCAATTAGTAGTTGAGACCGATAGTTAACACATTATCTATATATTAATCGATGAATATAATCAGCCTTTCTACACGATTCTTAATTTTTTCATTACTTTATTGCCTCACAACTATCACAACGAATTAACCTAACGAGTTTATCAATGGACATAATAGCTGCTAATAGGAAAAAAAAAACTATAAATTCACGGTTATGAAAGGTTTTCATGCTCAAACCAATGCTTTTTATGGTCATTAATGATAAATGAAAAGAAAAACAGTAGAAAGTCGTCATGAATTTATATCATTATGTTTTCTAAAATTTTTTTTCGATTGATAATAATAATTTATAAAAGATATTTACTCCAAAAGACACATAAATTACTCCAAATTAATTGAATCCAATTTTTTGAAGTAATTTTTACTCAACTATTATTTCCAATTATAAACTATTTATTTTTATAATTATTGAGTTCTTTATTTTTAATAAAAGCATTGAAAACTGTTGATATATTTTATGTAAACGAATGAAGAAAAAAAATGTTTACAGAGTAATGAAATCTTTTTAATGCGTTGTTTCACTATGACAGTTTCCCCAAATTCCATCACGTCGCTATCTGCATTTTTCTTGTTTCTGGGCTACTAAATATGTTTAAAGCTTTAGCTCCAGTCGAACAAGCAGTCAAGGGAAAGAAGGCTCAACTTTATGAATATTATTTTCCAGCAGATGTCTTTCCCGATAAGACGTCGCCGTCAGTGTAATTAATGACATCTTGGAAACACGACTGAGAGAGATGGAAAACATCTAGAGGTCGAAGGGTGAAAGAGCTGATAAGAAGCATCAAAGGGAGGGCGAAGAGTCGACGATAGCCGGGGGTATACGACAATGCGCGTGAATTATGCTACAATGACTGGGTAGTTTTAAAGCCAGGAAGTCGACATTAGCAGTGTGCCCTCGGCACATTGATACTAGCTGCTTTCTATTGCTACACCAGAACCATTAATATTACTTTATTGAGGCTGCGAGTTCACATCAGACCTTAGAGTAGGTATATACATTGAGTCAAATGCTACCTTTTCACGAAAATTTCCAAGTTAACTTTATTAATAATAACGTCTTCAAGTCATTTTATCAAAAGTTTAAAATTTCATTCTCCCTTTAAAACTCCATATTCCATACAATTTTCAGCTCATCAGCTATAATTAATTACACTTTGTTATTTTTTCAAACAATAAATTAACAAACAACAACTCTAAGTATCGAAAATAAACAAAGAGAACACTTCAAACGATAATAAAAATGTCTAATTACTTTTAATAAATTAATACATATGCGTGTTTGAAACTCATAGAAAATACTTTTCCTCAAGTAGAAGATTAATTGAAGATAAATAACATTTTACAATGCATAAAATAATGATTTTTTATTCGTAAATAATTATTCAGTGATTAAATTATCTGAACACAAAAGATAATTTATATGAAAATAATTTTATTTCTTAAATAAATAAATAATAATTCCCATATATTATTAAATTCAGATAAAAGGGAAAAATTTATTTATAATAGGCATTGAAAAATCTACAAGTCAGAAGGTAGTAATATTATTACAGAGCATAATGATATTGCGTGACAGAAACGTAAGCACAAGTGAAATATAAAGCCGGTTAATAGAATATATAGGGAGAACGTCTATGTGCTACATGATTTTATCAATTGAAACAAATCATCTGACGTTGTTATATAAATAAAAAAAACTGATGATAAATTTTAAATAAAATGGCGACTGCACTCAAATGAACAATTAATCATTCAAAGTATATCCAATTAAATAACAATAAATTAATAAAAAAAAAAGTAAAAATAAAAAACAATTAGTTCTAGTAAATTAATTTGAAAATAAATCCTGAAGATTTAAGAGATTTTATTGAGTGTAATAAAAATGGAATAAGTTTCTTTCTTTGAAGAGGATTGAAGAGAACTCGTAAATAACAAGTCAAGTCTGTTTAGTTGGGATTGGATGTTCCAAATGGATTAGCATAAACAAATCATCTGGATTAAAGCGGCCGCGAGAGTGAGACAGAGAAAGGGAAAAGGGGTACAATCCTCGGAAGCATGTAAAATCAAAAGGACAAACAATTAATAACCCAAAGCGCGAAGGGCGAACGATTAATCAGAATTAAACTGTAAGTTAAATACTCGCGGGCACTGAGTCAGGGTGAAGGTAAAGGCAAGTTGGGAATAAACAAAGGTTTACATCAGTGTCAGTCGCAACAAGTCCGATTTCGTCTAGGGCTACTTGCCATGAATATTCACTGGCCTCCTGTACTGCCTGTCCCGTTCGATTCATCGAACTGAGACCTCGAATGGTCCGAGTCAAAGGCTGAAATCACAATACGCGTTTGTCCGGTTGACGTAGCCTGGCCGCGCAAAGCAAATAGAGAGTAAGCGATGGGGCAAAAGAGAAAGGGTGTCACAAAACTATACTTGTATGGTTGTTGTAGTGTATATATGGATGAGGGAAACTCACCTAAACGTGAGACAGAGAAAGTCCACGAGAGGGTTACCAGTGGTCATTGGCTTTGAATTGGAAATTACGTTTTGAACGACCAAGTGTCGATTCCAACCCCTGCATTATACTATGCCTTATCGAAATTTGCAACCCTCACTCGCAAATCCCTTTTATATTTCACAACAAATTTTTCCACGATTGAAAAAGTCGCCAATTTCGCGTCAATCACATGCTAAAATTATTCGCCAACTTTGGATTATTGATTTATTTTTAAATGTTTTATTGTTATTTATTTTGGCTGACCTTTTTGGAGTATATTATGATCTCATGTATAATCACATATTGTTTAAAGCATAATTAAAGAAAAAAATATTTTTTAAATATTTAATACATTTTATTTACTCAATTTTTTTTTTATCTGAAAGTGTTCCTCAAATGATTATTTTGTCATTGAAGAACGAAACACTAGCTGAAGGGTAGCAAAGCGGTAGTAATAGGGTAGTAGTATTACAGTATATTGTAGGAAAACGTAATCAAGCCCATGTGTGACCATAATTCATTGCTACTAGAGTAGTTATTTAATAAAACAATCAATCTAATTGTTGTTAATTATAAAAATTAATATTTAATCATTGCATTATTTTATTCTTGATACAATAAATTTACCGACTAATTTAATCAATATCTAATAAATTATGACTGTCTATTGTTAAGAAATATTATAAAATACTTTCAATAAATTTTTAATCACTATTTTATTATTAAATAAATGATTAACTCCATAATGAGTGTATAAAATAATTGATAATCGATACTATAATAAAAAAAGGTCTGATTATTTAAAAACCACTTGAATAATAAATAGTAAATTTTTATAAATAAATTAATTACAATCACTAATCAAGCTAGTGTGTGAAATGTAAATGTAGATATGATTTAGAACAAGCCTACTACAGTAGTCGCAAGTGGTGTGAGATAAGCCCTTTTGCTACCGAGAGTATTCTGCGACAGTCGAATAATTTAATCCCTAAATGATGAACGGGAATGTCGCGACGATGATCTGCGTCGCGTGAAGTGACAAGTGGTTAGGATCACCGGGGAAACCTCGTGGTAGACGTGAGAGTATACCCAGCAGAACGTCGCACCATCCTAGGAGGGGTTGGTGTGGGCACTCGTGCAAGCGGTCGCGGTGGTTAGAGAGTGAAGCGATGAGATCAGTGAGATTGAGAGGGAAGAGAGGATGCACCAACCGTACAAATCATGTTGGCATTACCGCGTCAAGCGAGGAATCAACCCGTCACATGCCCGGAAACTCGATGTTGACGGTAATACTGATTTATCGGAAATGCAACGCGGTTTGATGCGTTTGCGATCGCATGTTCGATACGTTTCACATTTTTTACATCTATCCGGATACAAGCCATTTTTCGGTTAATTGGGAATTATGAGACTATCACGTATCGTGAAAATTCGATCAGCAAAGATTAATCGCTAATTTATTTCGCCTGTAAATTGGCAAAAAGCCATTTGCATTTGGCTGTAGTTTTATTTCACTTCTTTTCTGTCTCATTAATTGTCATATTTTTTATTTTAATATCTAAATGTTGTCCTCAACATCACAACACTGATGATTATCAAGAATTCATGTCACTACTTATTTTTTATCATTCATCCTAAAGGTTTAATTGCATCTAAGTAAAGTTCTTATATCATTGATTAGTTAATTAAAACTTTATTTATTGGTTGGAATGATTTTTTCCTACCTTTCGAGATGCTTCACGATGTCTTCGTAGGCAGCTCGGCAGTTCTCCCACACCCCCGATCTGGATTTGGAAAAGAAAAAAATTTCGTTACAGATAATTATGTTCTTTTAGATCGTTCGAGAAGAAGTGTCATCATCTAACGGATCATGAAAGAAACTCGTAAATATATCTAAAGACTTGATTAACATTTTCTACTCGACTATACACATCATATTATGTACTTTAATATTTAAAATACTTTTGAATCAATTGCAAAAGTCTTGCTGGCTATCAGACGAGAAAAGGGACGAGCTTTTGAAGTTGTTGATTAAAAAGAAATGTATCTCATGCTCGAGAGAAAAACTAAGAGACTTCGTTTCCGATCGTTACGCATAGCTCAGTAATTCAACTTGTAATGAATCAAGCTAACAATTAGCAGGATAATTTCAATGCAAAGAAAAAATTTAAAGGAAGAAATTTCGAAAGACGTTGATGAAAGTTAATCAGATGAACAAGTGAAAACCCATTTCTATTTGTTATCAGTAGAGTTTGGAAGTCTAGAGTGATAAGTAATAAAAAATACTAGAGTCTACTAAAGAATATAAATGACTACGGTGAATTAATCTTATTCTAGTGTTTGTCATAGCTTATTCCCTCTTCCTCTCATCGGACGTAATCCGTCTTACCTCCTGATCTCTCTTCTCGCGTCCGCGCACCAGCGATAGATTTGCATTTTAATTAAAAGCAAAGCACTGAAATCATAATGCGAAACGTGCACCACCTCATTCTCAGTATCTACGAATATACGTGCCTACCTGGTCGAATCTCTCTCCATTTTACTAGTACTTCATTCGAGAATATTTTTGCAATACTGTTTTTCTATGTAATTAAATATTTAACGAGTCATAATTAGTATCTACTTCTAGCCTTTTTTATTGACTTTTTTATATTAATTACCTACCGATTTTATCGAATAAAGCATCTAGTTATTTCGTTTTTGTATTTAGAAAATATTAAAACCAGTTTATTAAATATTTTTTTCAACATAAAAACATTTCTGTTAGTGTTGAACACTTAATCATTAAAGTATAGGTTTTATTCAATAACTACTTAATTTTTTCATTAATTCAAATTATTAACTTCCTAGTTAATAAATTACTTATTATTAAAAAAAAAAAAACATTTAAAAAAATATATTGAATATCATTAAATGTTTTTATTCACTTATCACTTTGAATGATAATTAAAAAATGGGAGATTAGAGAATGAAAAAAAAATTAAAGTGTCGGTAAGGAGATAAAAAAAAATAGTTAACGATATTAATTAATTGCTAATTATTGTTCTCGTCTTAGTGGTAGCATTTACAGCATAAATCTCGTAATAAAAATCTCGTTTTATTAAGCAACGATGGAAATTTGTGGGCTGATACAGAAGGGTTACTTCCACTTAGATTCCTGATTACAACGTCAACAAGTAATTAGCTGCTTTTGCATTCTGGATAATGGAAATTCCTCGTAATAGTCTTGGAGGTGGTGGTTCGAATTATATAAGGGCCAAGACGTTGTAACCACGAAATCTTGGGCAAAGGGTAAATCGAATGTGTAAGACATTGGACACATGCAATATACAAGTAGTCAAACAAGGGGGAACGGAACAAGTGATTACTATGACGACAATGTCGTTGCCACAACTTAAGACATTAAAGGCACACCACAAGTTGACGCTCGTCATTTCCTAGCCTCTTTATGACGGCACGTCTTTGACCAAACTTATTGTAAATCATAATGGAGAAAGTTGAATTTCATTGTTTCATTCCACGAATTAATGATGATTATTATTATTATTTAGTATTAACATATAATATTTATTGTTTATTCATGGTCTATTACGTTGAGATGTTAAGTCTATAAGTGACTTATTGTTAATAGTATGTGAAAAAAGCGATAAAAATAGCTACACCCTCTCAATGTAATTCAAGCTGATGTAAGTTGTGTTGGAGGGATAGTAAACGGTCTTGGTTAGAAACAAAGAGAAAAAGAAAGTTAAATAGGAGAAGAGAAAAGATCAAATAGTGTCAAGACCCTAAGGATTTTTCACGGCTTCTTCGTCTATTTAAATCCTCTTAAAGTTGTATTCTTTTGGCCTCGCGAGTATACTCTTCTATATCACTTTTAACTTCTCCACGTAGTACGAGTATGACTCAACAAGATACTCTTGGGTACAGAACTTTAATAAAATAAATCCAATTGTAACAGTTGGGCGAATGTGTCATCGATCATGGATTTATTTTTCTAAAGCAAAAAAAAAAGCAACTCCATTATAAGAAATAATGGTTATATAATTTTAGAAAGGAGCAACGAGCCCGAACAAGTAGCAACTTTGAGGAGCTTTTCCCAGAGGGTAAAACACGTCTTTCATTTCTCCCTCAGAAAATTCACTCGGTGCGAAAGAGGCAGAGTTAATGAAAATGTTTCCCGCTGCGGCAGTTCGTCATTTCCGAAATATATATCATTAGCAATAAATCGAGGGTATGAATTCAATTGTAGGGGCATGATGGTACAGTTGAAAGCTTCATCATGCAGTCTTTTAGCTGTTTACTTCAAAGTGAGCATTTTCACGTTAGTTTATTCCGATCGGTTTCCCAAGTCGATTATCATCTTGTCATAACAATCTTTGCAAAGTTTTTCAGACGTTTGCCAATAACTGATAGATAGAAAATAGCAAAAGCCATAAGAGTTAATTATTAATTTTATAATTTTCAACTTCATGAAGTACAGAGCTATTAAACTTTGCTAGTTGACAACTTAAAAAGGGTGTCTTCAAGACAAGCTTATCTTCAGAACTCAACTTCAGTTTTGTTCAATACACCAGTAATTTCCGCATAGAACAGTTCTTTTAAACAATTATTTTTTTAATAAACTTTGCATTGATTATTATAATAATAAATATATTTTAACAATACAAACCTTGCTAAAGCTTCCATGTTAGTCATGTTTGGATTAACTTTGAGTCCCTGCTCCACTCGTGCTTGCACCTGTGCTTGAAGATGATGTGGAAGGTTAGCAGGAGAGAGGATTGCTGTATGTCCTGCACCTGGATGTCCTCCAAGTTGCATGTACTGCATGTGACTCAAGTGTGTGGGTGGTTGGTTGTAACCGTTTGCTAACAACGGCGATTTTTCCATTCTCGAAACATCTAGAACACAAAAGCAAAATATTCTAATTAATTTTTCCATCACGATTGATAAAAAAAGTTTGATTTTAAATCTTAAGATGAGTAATTAAATTTAAAAGCATGGGGTAAGGCAGTGAAGCAGGTGTTAATAAGATAATGAAAACAAAGTACAAATGTTGCATTACAGAATGCACAAGTGAAGCTAACTGGGACGTGTGGCGAACATTGTAGACGTGGATAAAGAGCGCTTTTGTCGGGTTGATGGATCGCTGTCCGCTTAACCAAATATCAATCACAACGGCGTGCGAGCGTGAGCGGCTTCCGCTGTAGTCTCTGCACATAATCTGCACGCTGATTTCACCAGGCGTATGTTTGTACAGCAACTTAAAGCTCGCGATCCAAACTCCTCGACTTATTCATTCATCTCATGCCAACATGCCGCATCTTCTTCAGCAATTAATCATCCCCCGAAATTATTAATTCATTTAATATATTCTTATCATTCTATCATTTTGTTTATGTTTGGAATGAAAAATTATTATTATCAAAGATATTTATCAATTATACTAACTCAAATAAAAATTTTTATTCTCATGCTGAATCCCTTTGTGATCAATCTTACAATCCGATGTATATAATACGTATTTTCTAGCTGCAGTGTGGAGAAAAAAGACCCTATGTTATAATAATAATGTATGCTTCGTCACGTTTTTCTCCCCGATGTGACGAAGTCTCATCGACGCTCTTTCACCCCCTTTTTCCCACTCTTTCTTGCTCGCGAATATCGTTTGTTATGCCAGCACGAACAGTTGGTTTCACCACGATAAGTCCTCTCTTCTTGCTTACTCTTCTTCCTTTCCTACCCCACCATATTCAAGATCTCTTTCCTCCAAGTGTTCGTCTCGCATTCCAAACCACGCTTGCTTCATTCGTCAAACCTTCGCCCTCGCTACCAACATGACGACAGTTACTCTACTTTTTTCTTCATCAGGAAATAAATCTGAGACACAGATTTATTGTATATCACTGTTCGATAACACAGCTATTTTCTAACTTTGGTCATTTTCTTTTATCTTTCTTTATCTCAGATGATTTTGGTAAAAGTTTTTATTGAAAATTCTCTGGATAACAAATTGATCAAAGTTTCCTTTCATGTCAGAATAAATTTCTTTAATCATTTTAGTAATGATAAGAGATTAGTATTTGGTAATATTTACACACAACTATCGATCATCTCTCCTGATTTACATTCTTTCTCATCGCACAGCTGCAAGCTATAGTGTCTGATGTATTTTAATCTACTGAATTTGAAGAAAAATATTAGCTACTATTTACTTTAAATTTAACTCTATTTACTTCATCGAAATAAATTTTTTGAAAGAAAAAAATTATTGAAGTAAATATTTAATCAAGCATGATTTCTAAAGTTTATTTTTAATAAACAATAAAATTTTAATGCTTCTAAATAGTTATAAAAAATTTAATATGAACACTTGATGTTTATTAACATTCAAGGTTTATTTTTGATTGTTGATCTTTGATAATTATTAACAGAAAAAAAATAATTGAGAGCAAAAAGTTATATTCATTTTTATTTGAAAGTCAAAGTTCTTTTTTAGTAAATAAAAGCCATGTCTCACTAGATTTATTCGAAAAAATTCACGCCCACCATAACTCACTCACTGCAAATGACATGACCAGCATCATTTTTCCCCTACTCTCTGGCAAAAAGTCAAGAAACATAGGGAGTGATACGTTTGCACCAGTCGGTCTAGAATAAAAGGGAAAAGGACACAGCAAAGAGAGAGGGTGCCTATTCATTACAAATTATCTAAATGGCAGTGATTTTGGACGAACTGGCTGGCCGTTTGACGACTAAGTGGTGGGTTTACAAAGAGGCCCCACTTGCTCACAGTGATCTTCGATTATCCCACGTGATACAGCCAGTCCAATTGCTCGTACACGAATGGGAATTTCTCCAAAGCCATATGACAACCACTGAGAAACCTGGCCCATGACCGGCCTTAAAATTGGACTTATTACAACTTATAGAGCGCGATTTGAACGCTCTGCTCGATAACATACATTATCCCCAATCCATATGATTTAATGAAATCTCTCTAAACTATCCACTTAGCCTCGGTTCTTCATCTCGGGTTATGTGCACCAACTGCGACCGTACAGACTCGTTAAATCCATTAGAGCTATCCTTTATTTAAAACCTAATGCAAACGAAATCGGTATGTTAAGAATGCTTATCGATTAAAATTGTTAAAATATAGTTCACATAAAGTTATTGCCAATTTTTATAACGCTAAAATTTGTAATGGAAATAATAAAATAAAAATATTCAAATGAAAAGATCTCGTGATCAACTGTACAGAAAAAAATGATTATTAATATAAATAAAAAAAATAAAAATATTTGAATTTAAATGGAAAGATTTATTTCTCATAAAATGATTGTTAATTTCAATTCTAATATCAGACTTTATATAGCATTGTTGGATAAAAATCTAGCAAAAAATGGCATCGCACTGATTTAAAAACCAAAAAAGCATTATTTTATTACTCGCAATGAAAATTCTTTCCAAGAACAACACTTGATCCTTCCAATCATCCTGAAATGGAATGCGAGAGACGATAAAATACAATTTAAGCTAAAGACTACACTCGAGTAATCCTTCTCCTATACCCATCGAGTCTGTCTATCTTTCTCTTCCGCTGTCTTTGCCTGTCGTCCAGTTTCTTTGCCCACGGTGTATGTGAGCGCGCCCCTCGCGACTGATGAGGTGACAACCCATAATTATACAGACCGCTTTCTGTCTGGTTTGACTGCGGTGGCATGTGCAGACCTCGAAAAGACCTACCAACAACACATCTCTTACCCTTTTCTTTCTTTCTTACTCATGTATTCTTTCGTGCACATTCATCTGTTGGGCCCGCATTACTTCTCCTTGCTGTCTACTTCTCTTTCTCCTTCTCTCAACCTTAACGTCCTTCCGGGGGATTCTCCATCTAGATACTTAATACTATTACGCGGCGCGCAACCGTGAGGAAGAATGACGTTGAGAGAAACGTCTATCTACTGCTACTTCTCTTCTTTGTACTCTTCTTTTTCTTCCACTCCTTCACTCTTGTTCACCCTGGCGTTAATTACAAAACGCGAGAATAAATTGCCGGGCCAAATGAGACTGGTCAAGGTACGTTGGATTGATCTTAAATGCAGCTTCAAAAAGCCATATAGAACTCAGTATTCCATTCTCATTCACCAGCTCTTTTTTTCCACCAAAAACACTCCCTACACTTTAATTACTTCCATCTAAACGAAAATCATTAATTTAATTGAAATTTCTACTTATATTTTTTTTAAGTACTTCAACATGACATCATCATTATTTTGTTATCAATTCAAATCAAGTGTTTTCATTTGTGTTTCATTTTTTTTTTTACATTCAAAACAGTCTCCATCATTTCATTTTCATGATCAACAAAAACAGTCATCTTGATTAAATTTTACTCAACTAAAGTACACTTTAACATGGCATCGTTTCACAATTAATTGAATTCAAGTGTCTTAACTATCAGTTGTTGTTGTTGTTTCAAAAATATATCAGCTTGAAACAAAAAATGAAATTTTGAGTATTAAATAGCCTGAGGTGATGAAATTTGAATTTAATTTTTCTAGATTTTCGAGGCTGCCATTTAATTCATGGACAGGATAATTTAGGAAGGGACAAAAAAATTTGATTGCAGAATCCTTTGGAGCTACCTGAAATTACTCTTGAAAGCCTTGAGTTAGGTGTACTGCAATGAAGAGAAGCATGAAAATAGCGATAGAAACGAATGGGTAAAACACACGAATTGGCAGTTAATATTGATTCGTACATAGCACAAGGGAAGCGCAGTTTCGTGCTGCAAGAATCCGGTTTTTCAAGTAATCGCGAGACCAGGGCCTGCTAACCGACGAGTCCGAAGCCATCGAATGGTCGAATAAGAGCCTAAGGCATATTGGAGTCTTGTTCTCTTTCTTCCCACCTGCTTCTATATACCTTTCTGCCATCTCTGCACACATTTCGACCAGCACAGAAGTATTGAGACATAGCCATCTTACGACAAATAAATAAGACTTGAAGATGTTGCCAGGAACTCACAGAAGCATCCAATCTTCTTTCTAGAGCGATGATAACGTACTAAAACGCTAGACTTGAAGTTTTTCTTCATCATTTTTTTTTCGTCTTGACTTTTACTCCTTTATGCCTTCTCTCTTGTGTTTATGTGGTATTTGTTCTTCACCAACGACTGTCTTACTCGTTCTCCTTCTTCACCACCATACAAAACATCATCTGAAGGTAGTAAACCATTTGATATATAGTCGAAGATTTTTAGAGTTCTGTCAGCCACGCCTACAATCAGCCTTAGTATTATTTACACTCTCCGCGGTTTGTACTTAACCAACACCCCACTTTCTTTCGCGTCTCTTCCTATTTTTCTCTCTTTTTATGTGTCTTTTTATTCCTCCCTCTTTTCATCATCACCATCATCATCGTCATCATCATCAACTCGTTCAACTTTTCCTTCCTCATGTGAATAAAAAACTATCCATTCTAAAGGGTTTGATATTTTTTGAATACAAAATTTAATTCGTCCCAAAAAATTGATCGAATAATATTCACGAAAATTATAGGCATATCTAGTGAATTATTTTTTAAATTACTATTGTTTCTTGATGATTTAGGGGTCCGGCACTTGAAATTTCTTCAGACGCTTTGAAATTAAACATTATTGTAAAATACCTGACTATATTCGTCTGAAATTTAACTCAAAAAGCAGACAATTGCACAATACTTAAATGATAATGACATTCATTTTAAATACCTTTAAACACGAATTTTTTTACTTTATGAAAAAAACATGAAAGAATTTTAAGTAGGGTTGTTAATCATTAGAATTAAAGGTACATTATTCAATATATATTTTTACCAAATGAAATACACAAATTAAATTTAATTTTGTGTGAAC